CGTGTTTCCAAAGTTTTACCTTTTTAGATTTCAATTTGTTATATCTCCTAAACCAATGCCGTCCCCCACTTGATTTTTGCGGGGAATTACTCAGAAAACTCTCCCCTACAACATATCTAAGTGCCGAGGACATCGGTGAGGTGTGACCTTTTATGCATATTTACCATAAATATTACCAACAACTAAAAAGATTCTTTTACTTGTATAAAATATAATCTATTGTACATGTTAGTTCTAAAAACAAGTATTTTTATAATTTTTATAATTAGTGCACTTGATTATAACAAATAATTTAGATATTGCACATGAGACAACAGTTATTTTCCGTAACTAAATAAATTTGTAAATTTTTGTTAATTTTAGCATGCGTCTATTTTGGAATTATTGGTTTCACTATGGTGCAATATATTCCGGATTTACTTGATTTTGTAATGCCTTTAAATGAATCTCGTCCACGTATACTTCTCCATCAGGCGAAAAATTTTATCGACCACCAAAAATATTTTCATATCTTAATAATACATGATGTTATTGGGATACTCCTTGTTGGAACTACTGGAATAGCTGCTGAATCATTTTCATTAGTAAACGCAATACATGCTTTCGGAATGTTTAAAATTGCTAGGTACATCGTAAGCAAGATACAATTCTCATTAAAAAATTTTCTTTATCTCTGCTTTCATTTCTTTTAAGTTACAAATTTAATAATTCAGTATTGTTTTTTTATGAAGAGAATATTCTATGCATATCCATAAAAGAATTCTAAGCAATTAATTACTTTTTTTTATTCAAGTAAGATTAATCTGTTAATGTTAATCTGTATTTTCTTATTTATAGTATTTATTAAATTTTATGTCTTATACAATATACAGGGTGAGTCATATCATTTTTTACAACGCTTGTGAGGCGGTAGAACGAATCGAGATGAATAGAAAAGTCCTGTACCATTTTGCAATTTTCGCCAAAACATTTTCGCAATAGTTAACAAGTTATTAATTATTAAAAATCGTCATCTTAGCCTGGCTCACCGTCCAATGCGAGCGCGTGGAGAGATGTAACCGCCCGGCAATCGATATTGCCAGGAGGGGGGAGTCAGCGCCCCGTTGACCGCGAGCTTACGACGCCGTTCCCGCGTCTCGCCGCACCACGCCTGGCAATATCGATCGCCGGGCGGTCACATCTGGCCACGCGCTCGCATTGGGCGGTGGGTCGGGCTCAGACGACGATTTTTAATATTTAATTACTCATTAACTATTGAGGAAAATTTCACAATGGTACAGGACTTTCCTGTTCATCTCGATCTGTTCTACCGCCTCACGAGCGTTGTAAAAAATGATATGACTCACCCTGTATAAGGTCCTGGAATTGTTTATTCTCTTCTCCTTATCATTTATTACTTCTACTCTTGCGCGTTGCGTTTTTCTCATTTTATATCAATTTATATAAATTTACTTTATATAAATTTATGAATAATCACATAGTCAAATAAATCACACAGTCAAATAAAATAGTGAGAAGAAATAGAGCAAGAAAGAAAGTTATAAATAATAGAAAAGTAAGAAGTATTATAAATAATATGAGACACCCTCGAATGTATATTTGACTCATATTTATTATTGCTGAATTTATTTATATACACACATTTATATATTGTATTATATAATATTGATATATAAATACTTATTAAAATAATGTATTCTCTAACTGTATGCTATATATATAGTTTTAATATTTAACTTTATTAACTTAATTAATAAAGTTTTTAATTAGTGTCATTATTATATTGTATTATACAAGGTGTCTGACACAAGAGAACCCCTACGAAAAATGGTGGTAGATTGAGTCAGGCTAAGAAAAAAAGTCATGTACCATTTTACAAAATTTGCAATAGTTATCAAATAATTTATTGAAACGTCTGAGCGAATAAACACGTAGAGAGCGATAGAACGTAATGCGTACAACCGTTTTATAAAACTGACGCAAACTGACGAAAAATGGCGGACCAATCACAGCGTGCTTCCTTATGGTCAGACGCTATGGGATCTAATAGAGGGTCTCTATCTAGTGCTTACCGCTTTTTTTTTCTCCGAGAGCAGGGAAAAACGTTTTATGCGTACCATCAAGCCGTCCTGGATAGTTATGCCTTAGATTTTCCCGTTAAGCGGGAGTACTGGCTAAAAACCCCTCTCCTTGGACCGTCCTCCCCTATAAACGGGTCTCCCCCGGAACGCCTACTAAGACATACTTTAGGAGAATCTAGTGCTTACCGCTAGCGCCCGCCCCTCGCATGCCTTCTGAGCCTGGCCTACCGCTCTCTACGCGCTCATTCGCTTAAAAGTTTCAATAAATTATTTGATAACTATTGCGAATTTTGTAAAATGGTACATGACTTTTCATCTTAGCTTGACCCAATCTACCACCATTTTTCGTAGGGGTCCTCTTGTGTTAGACACCCCGTATATCTATTTCATAACATACAGAATTTTGTAGTTATCGTATGGAACGTATGTTAAGCATAGATGTTTCACAAATATCCATAGCTAAAAGCTATACTATATTCCATGATAGGCTAAATGCCGCAGTGGACATTCACAGAAGAGCGCTTAAGTTAGTATGTCACTAATTCCTATTATATCTTTTACACGAATATAGTATTAGCAAGAGCTTGAAAATAGAATTGTAGTTTTCTGTAATTTAATGATGGCGAATAATGACGAAAAACTTTTATTCTAATAGGTTTTCGGACTTATTAAAAGTAAGCATGGGACCATCGTATCTACTTATGATGGTAACAGCTATATGTTCAGCAATAGTTTCTTTCTTTCGTGTACGTATACATATACTGGTTATATACAGGGTGTCAGATTCGATATGGACAATCCCAAAGATTATAGTAGATTGGGTTAAATTGAGAAGAAAAGTTATATAAAATTTTACAAAATCGTAATTATTATCGGCCGAATTCAGAAAAACGTCTGAGCCAATAAGGCCGGACTCGGCAGCATGCAAAATGGTGTGTTTGTTGACATCTCTGAAAAATCGATAGCGAGAGGTGGAGTCACGCATCGATCGATGAGAGACGGCGGCGAGCGGGGAGCGGGGAGCGGTGAGCGGGCGAACGCGTTCGCTATCGTTTTTTGAGAGATGTCAACAAACACACCATTTTGCATGCTGCCGAGTCCGGCCTTCCGCTCCTCCGTGCATTTATTGGCTCAGACATTTTTCTGAATTCGGCCGATAATAATTACGATTTTGTAAAATTTTATATAACTTTTCTTCTCAGTTTAACCCAATCTACTATAATCTTTGGGATTGTCCATATCGAATCTGACACCCTGTATAA